TTTTTTTCTCTACAAAAAACATTTTTTTCTACAAAATGAGAAATGTCATCATGGTGGTAAATGTATTCATTCATTCACTGAATTCATTGTGTGGCCATCTCACCTGGACAGTAACTGAGTTTGCAAATCAGGACTGTCTCTGGCTTCTCGCCCTCACATTCGCCGATGGTGTTGTCGCTAGCCTTGCAAACCACCTGCCTTTGTTGGATTCCTTCACCACAGGTCACTGAGCACTAAAACACAGTGACGACATTGCGGTTTATAACGTTGCATAGTCAATAAGTTAATGGACCCATTTCCAATAAATCAAAAACAAAAGCCTTTTGTCACTGTTTATAAAGCAGTACTAACGAGAATGAACATGCCAGCTGATGGAGGCTGACATTATTGAATTAAAACTACTAAAGTTAAAGTCTGGGTCGTCTGGGGTGTCTGAACCTGGTCTTTCACAAATTTGAGCCTCACATTTCTTTTGGTATTCAGGTCAGACATTCATACCATTTTGGTTTTGGAGATACCATTAAAAGGACTAAAAAAGAAGGCTAAAGTGACATATCTACATTGACGTTACATATATAAACACTTCATAAACATATTAATATAAACAAAACAAAAATATAAATACAATATATCTATATATGAAGTACATTGAAAATGTGTTTTATTTTTGTAATGCTATTTTTGTAAAGTCTCACACCTGAGACCAGGCCCCTGTCCTCCACTGGGCAGGACATGCGGTGTAGTTGCAAGTCCTTCTCGTGTCGGGACGGTTGTCGGCACAGTGTTTGCTGTGGACAGGCCTGTTGGTGCCGTTGTTGAGCGCCTGCATGCACTGCACCATCCTGGTTTGGTAGCCGAGCTTTCCACACGTCTTACTGCAAGGACTCCACTCATCCACCACCCACCTGTGGGCGAAGCAGGCTCTTAAAGGTGTTGATGATGAATATGTATTTCAAATTACTTCTGCTCAGAGAGGCGACATAAAGCAGACCTGTGAGTCATCACTAAGTGCTACTGTTTGCAGCCTTAGGACACAGGTACAAGTATTTTCAGTGGAATTTCATCGACACTGAAAGGTCACTCACGTTGGCTGGCTGCACTCTTGGATATTGCAGCGTTTACGAATTGGCTTAGGCTTTCTGCTGGTTTCACAAAAGTTGCGATGCACCAAACGGCTGTCGCTCTTTCGCCGGCAGCCGTATTTTGTGTACTGTATGCCTGAAGTAGAAGAAAAAAAATGGGGCTTGTTCATCTGGAACTATTCGTTTTTTAAAATATTTGTAATACCATAACCAAGGTCTAAACATAAATTATAGGAAGTCCTACTTGCACTAATGATGTTTATTTGAACTGCTGACTAGGAAATATTTGAGAAAATTGTTCGAAGTCTTGGTCACGAGGTCCAGATTGCTGTTTAGACTGACTGAAATAGAATTACTGTCATTTATGTAAATCATTAAATTAAATAATTTAATTTCCATTCACATATTTTGGTTAAATAACAACAAAAACTGTTCCTGATGTTGAATGTAGCGAACTCAACTGTTATTAATGCATTAGTCACAAATATGATTAATATATTTATTTTCAAATATATTTTGGATGCAAATGATGACATTCTAAAGAAATGCAGAAAAAAAACCCACATTACTGTGAACTCCAGCATTACAGTTTCCATGAATCACAGATTAACTGAGCAGTGACTATAAACATTCAAGTCGCCTCAAGTAACCCCTTTACTGCACGCTAACAACAGAGTCAACAAACACCGCAGCTTTGATTGATGTTTGCAGTCAGCTCAACACAAACATCACCACTTTAAATGAATCACTGACCTCCACCACATGCTTTGGAGCACTGGGACCAGCTCTTCAGGGCCCACTCGTACGTGTCCAGCTCAGCCAGCAACACATTATTGTTGGTAATTAGAGGCAGCAGGTCCTCATGTATGATATATTTGTATGTCAGGCTGACTTTTACATCTTCTGCCTGTGGAATTACCTGCGACAACCGGAGGAAGATCTGCATAAATAATGACAGCAGCAGGTCAGAGCTGTACATGACGCCGTGTGCTGTCACTCACTCACCAGAACAATAATGCCTTCATGCAGAGGACCAGATGTTTTCAGGGTCTCCTTCTCATCCTCAGTGGAATATTCCCACTGTAAACCATTTTCAACGAAGGTCCTCGCCTCGGCGTCTTCACTTTTCGCATTCAGTATGAAGTTTCCAGTTACTTGATTCTTTACAGCTGTCAGTAAAAAGCAGGAACATTTTTTTGCATTTGTTGCAGGAAGAAATGTCCTTTTTTGTTAATGGTAATGCATTAGATTAAAAGGAAAAAACAGACTGTTCTGATCGCTTCTTAAACAATCTTTGTATTTCCCTTTAAGAGAAGGAATGTATCAGTAAGTAATGTTTGGCGTTGTGGTGAGCCAACATTAATTCCTCCAAGTTGTGTGTAATTGTTTCTTGCCATGAGCTAATAGAGTCCAGAAAAGACAACAATGGAGAAAAGAGAAAGGGCACGGTTCAGCGGAGCTCCACTGTGATCTCTCTAGTCAACCTGATCAGATGACTAGACAGTTCGATTCCCATAAGCGCCATGGAGGCGGAACGTCCAAGTCTGTATTTTTCGCCAATTACTTGTCCTGACAGTTACTTGTTTCAGAAGTTGACCATAAAACTTCACCAGCACGGAGGCCGAAAACAGATCTTTTCCTTAAGAGACACATTTTCCTTTTAGAGACTTGGGGCAGATGTGGTAAAATATACTGTAAACGCCCTTTTATTAAATTATTCCCTTACAACATTCACCAAAAACATGGCTTGGTATGAACTGACAGACCGCACACGGTTAAAGCAGCATACTGTCTGCTGCAGACAGGAGGGCTGTTCTTAGACTTGGCAAACAATACTGAAAAAAAAGGGAAGTGTTTCAGTTTTTATGTGCTGTGAAATAATATAAAAAGATGTTTTTATTTCCATTTTTTAAAACTTCTGGTGGTATGTTTTAAAGCCACCTTGAAATAATTTTTCTTTCAAATTGGAATAACCTTTTAAAAGGGAAATGCAACACAACGTTGTTTACCTTTTTTCAGGGTCTTAAAATGCTCATGCAGGAGCACCTATGATACCGTCAATTTCCCGCCCACTTCAGGGACTCGAACACCAATTACTTTGAGCACTAAACCTGTTACAAGTAAAACTCTGGAGAAAGTCCATTTAACACCGCTCCACCAGTTACATGATTGCTGCGAGGAACAAGAACAATGTCCGTTGCAACCTTGGGAAATCATTCTCCACTAAAAACTCATGTGGTTAACAACAGCGCGTTCAACGCTACAATGTCAAGCCCGCGCAGCACCATAAACGGACGGAATCTTAGAGCAGCTAACAAACAGAGCTTTTTAATTAGAAATGTCTCATGACATTTAAAACAAGCTGCTTTCTTTTTTACTGGTAACAACCCATTTAATTAAAAATGCAAAAAATTGGGACACACACTCACCGATTATGTGAGGAGAGGTGTCGTTCTCTTCAATCACAATGTGGCGAGCTCCTACTGGGATGTCGAACATTTTTAGCATGCCTAACAAAAAAAAAAAGAATTATTTCTGCCCCCAAAAATGACTACTTTTTAAAGGAGGCATGGCTACAGTATATTTAAAAGTGTTTGTGTTCTATTAGGAATGACCGAGAGGAAGGGTTATTTACCATTTTTTTTGGGCGTCTTGGTTAGTGTCAGCTTCACAGTGCGACAGTGCGAGTTGTCTCCTTCACAAACTCCACATTTGTCCTCCTGTTTGTAAGAGCCCACCTCTTTGTCACAGCCGACGTGCTGTAAAGAGCACAAATGTCAATCAAACCAGTACTATCAGGAGGTGGACATTAGTCCTGGGAGAAAATATTTTCATGAGAAAAATGCAGCACACATCTGGTTCGTCTGAGTCCACTTTAAAAAAAGAAAAACTCAACTCATACTTGACGCTTTATTTGGGTGTCTGATCTTTAAAGATGTAGGGTTTGGGATAGTGGTATATTTCCTTAATTTCACAATAATTGAAAATGTGTTATAAATTGTATTTTAAGCGCACTATTTCATCTTTAAAGATGTCAATCAACATTTTCGAAAGTTTATTTTAAATATCTATTAGTGAGGCAAATATTGCAAAAATTACTATTAAAAATACAACCTTCATACCAAGAGCTAAATGTGATGAAAAGACTTTGTTTACTACAATAATATTAGCACTGTATATTTTAAACTAAACTTATACTATATATAAATGTCTTACAAATGGTAATGTCTGCCTTTGTCAGTGACCACCGCTGTATATATTTCGACTGATTAAAATGAATGGGAGTATCCATTATTTCAGAGCGGGTAAATACTACTAGTTGAATGTCCCATATGTCAACATATAGTTCTGATTATTTACATTTTAATGGCTGGAAAATAAAAGACTCTCATCCCTTCTGTCATCACTCATGGCCTTGATTATTCACTAAGTGACATCATACATAACAGATGTGCAGTTCTAAAGGGCTCTCAGGTCAGGGTTTCCTTTCACTTTGCATAAGATGTGGAGTCAAGTCAAAACCCTACTTTTACAAGTGTTGTCAAAATCTTTGGTTACTCATATTAGTAAGTTTTATAGCATTTTAATGCAAGGGCAGACTGATGTGTAGTCTACATCAAATAATTCCACCATCCATCCACTTCATCAATATTGTTGAGGGCCAAAGATCACCAAAGATTTGAACATATTTATGTTGAATAATCACAAATTATCACAATAAATCACAATGTATTATGATTAATTGCAACAACTTGGCAGCCTTAATTCAAACAACTCCGTTGCTAATGAGGCCTCAGTGAGAACATACCAGACACTCTCCTCTGGCACATACACCGAAGGGGTCAGAGTAGCTGCAGCGTGTCCCATCATGCATCACTTGGTTCATGAAAACCACCTCTCCCGTTTCCTTCGACTTGCAGCTCAGCTCACACTTGCGTCCGTCTTAAAGGGAAATCAATAGACACATTGAGAATTATTACTAACGGCATCAGTGTACAGTGGAACCATCACATCACAATCTAACCCAGTGTAACCCAGAGGTAACCTCCACAGACTAACCATCTGGATGCTCGTATGGCAGCCAGGTGTGCTTGATGTTTTTGTGGTATTTGTTGCTTCTCTGGATGCACTGCTGAGCACGGAAGTCCTCGTAAGGTCCAGCACACTCCTCAGTGTTGCACATCTGGTAGTCAAAAGCAGAGCCAGGGCAGTCTCGACCGCCGTAGGCAGGCCTGATTGACAACAAATGCAAAATAATGTGTTTCAATGTCAGGAATATTTAAAATGTTTTTTCTCTTTCCCGACTTTCCTTTTCACCTCTTCAGTTTGTGAAACTAAATCACAAGTGCTATAACAGACCTCGTCTCATATCCATCAGGGCAGACAGTTAAACAGTCGTAAAAGAAACGGAAAGAAAGGTTAGTTCAAATCTCTGGGGATTCAGAGGTTTGAGAGCTGATACTTCCGCCCGGCAGACATAAAAAGATACAGTTCATATGGAAAAAAACTATTTATGAGAAACTGCATAAAATCTCAGCTTGTGACATGCCATGCTGATTTGGAACACACTTCAGTCTGCAGGGTGTTGACAGCAATACAAAAACGCCATAAATAAGGGAGCAGCGTGAGATTCAAAGATGATAAAAAAAAAGTCCTTTTAAAAGTTTCACGTGTAAAGAAAGTGTTGTTAACAGCAACTGAAATATTGTTTTAATTTACACACAAATAAATAAATAAATATTAGAACCTCTTTGTGGCTGCTGTTGGGTTTTTTTTTTTTTTAAATGAGGCCCAATCATTTAGCCTCACGCCATGTAATCAGTACGCACTCAGAGCAGTTAGAGCCGTCACAATATAAAGCAATCAGTCTTTTTTTTATACAACAGCAAGTCGCTGCCGGACGCCTGAGAAGTGTACCTGAGGGTTACTCAGCTTTCCAGTGTGTGGTTATAACTGTGGTCTTGTCACTCAGTTTCCTCTCAATGCACTCTCTTTTGTCACTCCAATCTATGTCCCACACACAAACTTACGGTGGGTTGTTGCACTGTCTGCTACGTGAACGCACTCCACCTCCGCAGGTTCTGGAGCAGGAGCCAAACTTTGACCACGAACCCCAGTTGCCGTCGTGACCCTGAGGCTCCTGGCTGGTCCTCCAGATACAATGTCCTTTAAAACACCACTGAAAATTCCAGAAGAATATAAGATGTGTTTTCACATTTAGTCACAATGTCTGTCTCAAGTGACTCCTATATATTATCCAAAGTACATGTACCGTATATTAGCTGTCCTTCTGTATTACTGTAGGTACTTGTTAATTCACTGGTTCATATTAAATCTCCTAATTTGTCAAATTAATGTTGCCGGATGGCAGGACCGCACAATGTTGTAGCAGTACTATAATCAGCCTGCTCACAGTGGGAGCCTGATTGCTGGTTTAGAGATGTGATTCTCAAGGTGCTTGGATCATTTAATGCTTCCACAAGACAAAAACAACTTTTGTAAAATGTTGACTGCCGACAGATTTAAACCATTACATTTACATAAAAAACAGCTAATTACTGCACTTACATAAGTACAAACTCTGACCTACAAGAATACTGTAATTTCCCACCTTTCCTGGAGCACACTCTGTTCCATCCACTGGTGGCCCCTTCTTGGTTTTACAGAAATACTGGTTGTCGGGGTGACTGCACCAAAGCTGCTTGCAAGGGTCGTAGGTCCGAAACTATGAAGAAGCACACGGAGTGATTAGATTTCTTTCTGGACAGACACCTTGGGGGGAAATCAAATTTGATCTATTTATTATTTGATGTTGATTTTTAAGTTAATGATCACTGGCCTACATTAATTCAGAAATAGGAAGAACAAAACTGACTAACTCTCCAAATCCGTTGGCAGGAATACACTCTAAATTGTGAGGTAACAACCACCATCCTTCACTGTTGCCTGAGGAGACTATAGAACTCCCATCTGGCTCTTTTCTGTTTGGCCTTGTTTATATTAACTTTTGGAATCAAATTGTCATGAATACCACAACTGGCCAGAACTCAATTATTTCTGCAATTGCTACCATTACTTGGTGACTCCATCTGTGATTTATATTAGCGGTCCCCAACCTGTTTTTGTGCCACCGACCGGTTAAATGTCCCTTACTGCTCTTTAAGATGTGACGGACAAATACAACTGAATAAAATGATACGACTGGCATAAAACTGGTATTTTCTAAATATGATAAACGTTAAGCCACTGTGTTTATGCAACTTTATTTAGCAGAATCCTAGCAACATCACACCTGTCTTTTAATGAAGAACGCTTGGTCTCTAAGTGGTGGAGCAGTTTTGAAGACTTCATTGTTTCATTTTAGAGACGCTCGCCGCCTATTATGCAGCGCAGGCTTGGTGCGTGGGAAGCACCTGTCTCAATAAATCCATATTTCAAGTAGGACTCCTGGAATTCTCTGTTAAATACAGCTTTCTTTTTCTTTGAAGACAAAGGCTCTTCTCTGTCTCCTCACTGACTACCCTGCACAAAGAAACTAAACAAAGACGTATGTTTTCTGTTCATTTTGCTAGCTTGGGGATTTCGACTTAGTGGTGATGTGTTACCGGCCAGAACAGACATTTTTAGAAGGTAGCCAATGTAGGTAAGACATGTGACCGAGGCAAGCATCTTGACATGCATCAAGTGTGAGTCATACACAGTAACGGCGGAGAGAATCCAGTAAAACTTCAAAATGAAACGTCACTCAGCGTCAGATAATTAATAAAACGGAAATATTGTAAGTTTTGCAGGTGAGAGTTAAAATGTAATGTTAGAGAACCACTGCTCTACAGAGAGGTGCAAATGTGCAATATTCAAAAGCACACAAAAACTTACAGCGGTGCACATTTTATAGCCAACGCCGAAGTCAAAGCGGCACTGCTCATCCATTGAATAATTGATCCCAGGAAGCTCCGGCAGCTTAGGCCACTTGTGTTCAAAGGGATCGTCCAACAGACAGTCGTATGAGCTGAGGGATGAATAACATAAAAGATATCATAATAAAAAAAATTAAATAAAAAAAAAACATCGCACAACTGCTTCACAACTTTCATGAACAGCTGTTCTTTTATGTGCATCGCATTGAAAAATTAGATGAGGCAGAATCGTACTGGATGTATCGATTCAGCTCCTGCTTGCTGCAACGTGACCAGTGGTAGCGGTGAAAAGCTGCCTGGACAAGCGGCGCCATGATGCTCCCCATGCTGGTCTCATCAGCACAGCGGTTCCCCTGTCCATCATGCTCCATGCCCAACCTGAGAGATGTAGAGAAAAAACATTTTTGCATTTTCTTTTTATTGTTTATGTCTATTCAGACATATCAGTCAGACACAGCAAATTTAGTACAGATTAGCGTCAAAGATCAAAATTGTGTACAGATTGTCAACTGACCTACTGAACATGTCTGTGTAAATGGATCTGACACCATACTGAATTATCTCCTGATATAATAATTTAATTGTATGCATCAATAATTATTTTTACTTCAATTCATTTCCTTCAAATTGCCTGAGAAAGAGTAGTGCTTTAGCCGTAAAAACTAAAAGAGATACTTCCAGACATTCCTCTCTTTTCATAACAAACTTCTGAACAGCCTTAAATCTGAAATGTACAGATAGCTTAAGCGGTGACCGTAGCCAGGAATGAGGAAGCAAATCACTGGAAGTGCAGCCAAAGTTCACAGTTTCAATAAAGGCAAGGAAATCCAGGGTTTTGGGGGCAAAGCTCTAATGAGAAGGCCAACAGGAAGAAGTGGAATGTTTCATTTGTACGGTGTAGAAGGGCAGCCTAAATTGGTGGATTTTTCGGGAATTAAAACCTGCCTCAAACCCCATATGTCAAGCTCAAGTCCCCTGAGCTACAATTGGCCCCAGATACAATTTTTTAACCCACAATTGCACATGTTATTTCTGTCAGTCAGTGCCGGACCACTGGTACTGCATGCACATGTCTAGATCAGAATATATAACTGATCCAGGTCAGCTTGAAGTGCATTAAATGGAAGACCATGCTGCTAGAAAATGAGAAGTCCCAATACATACTGTGAATTCCAATACAATAAACGATTTCCAGTGTTTCTTCAGAGAACTATCATCTCCTGATGTTTTCACCAGAAAAAACAAAACCAACACGGACTATATTTACACCTTTCATAAAATTACTTTTTTGATTTTATTGAAGCAAATTTCTTTTTCATCAATATATAAATTAATCTGATTGATGTTCTTAAATGAATTAACACAATTACTGCATTCATTTTGACAGCCCTCGGATGTGATTATGGTGAGGTCCACACTTTAGGTTTCATGTTTCCAGATATATAGGTAACACACACCACATGTATGTCGGTTTGGTTGTACTGGCAGCTCAACAGCTGCTAACACTGTTTTCTTTTCCTGTGCTCACATGACAATGATGTGTTTCATTAATCCAGCGTCTGTGACGCCACATGAATGCCATGCTTAGAGAAGACACTTCCAGGATCCGTTTACTGCCAGATGTGAACATGAGTCACTCCGAGTGCATTCCAACTACAATTACTTCACCCAGGATGAGTGCAGCAACCAGGTTTGAATGGGAAAACATAGAAACAGCTGCTCTCTGGGTATATAACTATCATCGTGTTCAGCGGGAGTTATTTCCATGTCACACTCCCTCCAAGCATATACTGTGGCTGTCAGTCAGGAGATCTGCTCCTGCTGAGAACTAGTCAACATTTAGAGGGTAATTATCTGCCTCATGACTTTTAGCTCTCCTTCACCTCCAACTTTGAGAATATTTTTTTCCAGTTTATTCACTATTCAATAATATCTACATTTGTTTAGCATTAGAAAATTATGAACAATAATGTTTTCAGCACTGTATATTCCCAAACTGTCAGGACTACACTGATTGTGGTGTCGTCATGCCAACAGCTGTCACACAAGGTGCGTTCAGGTACAATCAGAAACCTGAAAATGTGACAGTTACGACCAGATTAAATTGTATATCAGTGTTGTGACAGTCTGCAAAGTAAGAAAAGACAGGAAGTCGAGCCGTTGTGTCATCGTGCTGTTACTCACACATGGCCGGTTTCATGAGCTACCACAAAGGCAGAGGAGAATCCGTCCTCGTGGTTCAGAGTGCAGCTTCTCAATGGATGACACATCCCTGTCACTGGAGCATAACCTAGACAGGAGACAAGAGCACACAGCTCTACTAATCAAGCACTAGGTTGAAGGTCAGGCCATTCTCATGCTGCAGTGGTCATCCAAGTGTTAAATGATCTCTTCAAGTCACCATTGAATTTAGGATCATTAATGTCATAACAGGTGTCACTTCAAAGGTCCCTGTCTTTTCATTGTGTGGCAGCCTGTCAATCTCAAGCCGAACACGTACACGGTACATGTGACCACGTGGTACTTTAATAGACTGTGCTGCAAAGGGAACAGCAGGTACAAAGTGAAAAGACATCAGTAAATGGGCTGAAGGGATTTAGGGTCTATTTAGTTCCCAGTCATTTTTCACGTTAGCTTGATATCAATGATGCTGTTTGATATTTATATCACAATGTTGTTATTAGAGTTTAAGGAGCTTGGAGTTAAATCCTCAGACAGCAGGATTTAATTACCACTGACATGTAGTGGCCTGGAACGAATTCCCAGAACATAATAAACAATGATAATTATATTATATACCGTATATCCTGGAATATAAGTCACACTTTTTTCATCCTTTGGTTTGTGAGTTATACTTAGGTGCGACTTATATATTAATATATTTAATTTCAGGTTTGTTATTTTCACTCTGACAGCCACTAGAGGGCCCTTTAGGCTTGTGTACCACTGTACAGTGAAACCCCTAGCTCCCCGAAATAAGGGTTTTCCAAGTTACGAGTAAGCAACTATTGCAAGATTCTCGAGGAAATATCCAGTTACGAGTGCTCAACTGAGGAGTGGCATCCCTTCAGTCGTACAGCATGGGTAAGCTGCAAGCTCTGATGCCAAAGCAGCTGTGGAGTTCGTCCCGAACCTTTAGTGTTTAATAATAAAAAAATAATAATAAATATAGTTATATATATGGTATATATATCCTTCTCATCAATAAAATAAAATGTTTTCTTAATTATTGTTATTTTATATTATCAATATATGTGTTTATATCTATGGTTTTTCTTTACATGGAAGGAATTTTAATTAAATTAATTAATGGTATATTTCTGGGGGGCTGGAACAAATTTACATTTTTTATTTTTACACAGGCATTTGCTAGAGGGCACTCTCGCTGACTGGTGCAACCTAGACTCTGGGCGACTTATAGTTCAGGAAATACAGTAGGTATTATATACAAAGTAGACCAGAGGTGCCTTATACATTTGTCGTTCTAAAAAGCAGTGCTAAGAATATTTGGAAATATTATTATATTTAGGAAAGCTTCAGTAGATAACAGTGACCTGATCCATTAAGACTGTGATAAACACCCTCTGATTATATACAGGTAAGAAACATAGCAAGCCTGTCATCAATACCTGCATACACATGTGGCCAGCAAAAAGAAACTTTCAAGCAAAGCACAAAAAAATAAACACATAACTCGATCAAGAGGAGTGCAGTGATTCAGCTCAGCGCCTGTCTTTGGTTTAGACGTGTGCTTCTTTGTGCCTTCTTTTGCCGGCTTTTCAGATAATCTTTCATGCTTTAATGACCGTCAGAAGTACCTTTTGGCATGCAAGTAAAACAAAGAAAAGCAGAAAATGCAGCGGACAGACAGCCAGTAATAATGACTCTGTGGCAACATGTGTAAATCTGTGTTAATTTAATTAGAGACATATGATAGACTCATCTGTGGTTTTGAAGTTCTGCGAGTTAAAAAGTAATAGCAGTTTTGAAGCGTCAACCTTTATCCTAAAGGCAGATAAGGGGAATCTGAAGACTGAGATCTCACAAAGAGGTGATGGTAGCTAAGCACAAAGGGGAAAAAAGCAGCTGGATTTAAAATTTAAAAAACATCGCTGTAAAGTAATAACTTGACAAACACTGTGGAAGTAAATCAATAAAATCAATCAAAGGTATCCTATGAATGTTCAGCCTTGTCAGTTACACCTCAGAATCATTTCTGCAGTGTCAGCATAAACTTTTTTTTTCCACCACACTCCAGTATCTGTGTTTAGACAGACAATATAAGCTGTCTCAAAGCTAAACTTTCACAAGAGTGTGATCCTCTTGACCCCATGACACGCCACCGAGTCCAGCCCATCTCAATGCGAGGAGCCATAGAAACCCGGGCTTGTTATGAGCATAACAAAACTGCAGCCATGGCAACCTAAGGAGGTGCAACAAGCAAACCAGGTAGCCACAGGTCGTCCTCTAAACATGACACATGTGCTTTAAGAGATAAAAAATACACACAGGTCAATGTACAGAACTCAAAGGTTGAGGACAAAAGTTTACTGAGGACACAGGAGTTTCTGTGCAGGTTTGTCTGATAGTTTAAAAAAAAATGTTTTCAAATAGTAGGAACCAGAAATACAGAGTGAAACAGATGCTACACCACATGTATGAGTAAAATATACAACCTAAGAACTGCATACATGGACAGTGGATAGAAAAGGTTTACAGGAGCCTGATAAAGTGCCAGGTTGATCTATGTAAAATCTCTAAATATCTAAACCCTAAAATTATTTAAAAGCTAAAATTATAATCTAACAGTCCTACACTGACCTAATCATACATGTAGAACCAAAACTGTGCTCCGAGGAAGCCCCCAAACACACTGGGATAGCATAGCTAACTCTATACATACCATTATTTCTTGTTGTTGTTTATGTAGTATGAATTTAAAAAAAATCTTTAAATGTAAATTAAATGAGCAATTAATTGAGTTTTATTTACCTGGCAATTTAACATGGATGTTTGTTATAACCACTGTATTATTAGAATTTTCATTCATTCATTAGAGTGACTGTCGACTGTAAGTATGTACCTGATGTCACCCAATGGTTAGCGGAAAACCATGGCAAATACATAATTACACTAATTAAGTCTTACTCTACATGCCAAAAAACCTTCATAAGCATAGTTAGTGTCAATTGTTCATATCCGGGGGTAGCGGGGGGGGCGTCAATATCGAGTCAGCAAGGATTTAAGGAAAGCTGCTCAATAGTCAATTGCCACCGGAGACAGAACTGGGTGTGTGACCACAGCCACAGCCTCCAGTTTTACGTACTGTAGGTTTCCATTGACCTTACCTGAAGCCAACCCCTTTGTGAATGGAAGCAGATATCAGCACTCACTCTGCACAGTCCTCGATCGAGAAATATACAGTACCTTGCATACCTGCAGGACCAAAATCTTGCCTTGTCAGGAAGATGGCATGATCGTGGTACTCGGCGTGGTCGGGGTCACGGCGCTGCTGCGTGTTTGCCCATCGACACACCTGCTCGAGGCTGCGAGATGGATTGCCGCGCTCGATTAGGCTAATTGACTGCAGAAACACAAAGGCCCAGAGATAAGGGCAATTCAAACTGTGAGTGAAAACTGATTGTTTAGTTCTTCTGTTTACTGCAAAGAGCTCTGCTTTATTTGAAAAAACTACTCCTTGGAATCATCAAACTGAATGGACGCAATCTACAGCTACATTTTCTAGGAAAGTCACAGATGTGGGACAAAAATATTTAAGACTGACACTGAGGCAGAAGAGGAGAAATGTATGTGAAATACTAAGTAATACACAATCACATCATTTTTACTTCAGCATTTTCATTTGTATATTTGACTATAAAATTAAACAGATGTATGTACTGCCTACTGTAGCTCCTTCATAAAATACAAAGAAAATTCTCCAGGAGACACCACCCACCTGTCGGTAGCCGACCATTATCATCCGGACCAGGACGATGTTGATGTTGGTTCCCAAAGATTCATCGTGATAGATTTCATCAACCTAGGAGAAATCACAAACAAGAAGTATCTGGTAATTAATTTAAATTTTAAAGACACATCACACATTTGCAGCCCTGAAACCAGACTTTAATTTTGGGGAATAAGAAAAAAACTGAGGTCTGCATTGGAGTCAATGTAAACCTCAGTAGCTGAAGGTTACTGCAGGGCCATAATGTCTTCCATTATGACACATCTGTAAATGCATAGTGCTTTGTGCCCTCTCTTAAAGGCATGTGACGTATATAGAAATATTCCAGGTTATTAATAACTGCTGATGTAAAGTGCCCTGTGTGAACATGAGTCATTCCACTGGTTATATCGGGGGTTTTTTTCAGTTCTTCTTCACTTCCCAGAAATTGCAATAATTATATTACTATTTCTTTTATGCCTACCTGACTCAGGTGCTGCACCAAAACAATTGCAACCTAGAATGAATGTCATATAATATCATATAATATCACCGGTTGTTGATTCTTTTTAAAACCTTCACCTGTCAAAACATACGCTTAACAGTGCTGAGTCACTCCAAGTTTTCAGAGGCACCTCTGAAAAATCAAGAAAATATTTAAATTAAAAATGTATCAAGACCATGGTATGATATCATAAAAGAATGAATGATGGATGAATATCATATGAGGCAAAATTAAAAAAGTTAAATTATTCCTCAAGCATGATTGAAAGGCAGGATGGATTGCACCAAAGCAACCCAATTACATTAAAACATTTGGTACCAATTAATATAATAACTTGCTTCATGCCAGCACGAGGCTGAGAGGCAGTATTTTCTCCAACATTATAACGATCTTGAAATCCCCATGGAGTTCGGTGTTTACTCCTTTCAGACAGCCAATTAAAATTGACCTGACCCAGAGTGGTCTCACCTGCTACAATATTTTGCATTGCATTAATGCTGCTGTTTGTATTTGTTTAGACCAAAGGGCAACAACGAAATACCATACAACTCCTGTGTAATCACGAGTTTAATGTATTTTAATCAAGTCACCATTCATTTGCTCTTCCCTCACAAAGACCATGAGTTTTTTATTTTCTGCTATTTATGAAAATATTCCATTTCAGACTACAGTAACAATGTTCCAATAACTCCAACGTCAGATAAAGAGTGGGATCTAAGTAGGAAAATGTATGACCAGTATGAGGTCACACAGTGGTACATACTGATTATTTGAATTTGAAATTAATTTAAATTGATGATGATGATGATGATGATGATGATGATAATAATAATAATAATAACAAGTGACTTTGTTACCAAGTTTTGTCTTGGTTTTAGGTCATATCCACCCACAGGCTTTCTCACTTAGGACAAAAACTTTTCTTATTGTTTTGGTCACTTTAATCCTGGACTTCCTCTGTAGGGGGCAGGATTATAGGGTGTTAGGTAAGCCTGTGATTGACACATTTGAAGAGTGTGATGATTAGTCACAGCCCTGAGACGTCTGCTTCACTTTCTTCACAGCCAGTCGATATGAGTTATATGGCACAAAATGTCCCTCACAGGGTCTGGACATTTAAACATGTCAGAATGTGGGACAAGGTCGCAATTTGCAGGTTAGTATGTCCAAATGCTGGGCAAGTGTACCACTGAGTTTTTCCCCTTTTGGTCTAGAAAACAGTTTTTATAAGGCTCATATGTTGAATTCTTTTAATAATGACATTATTAAACTCATCAAGTCTTAATTGTTCAAAAGCTTGTTTTCACACAAGAGCAGCTCTTGAAATGGAAACCAAAAAAAAAAAGAACGGATATATATTAAGTTCCACATCCTTCATGAAGACTCACACGTCTTGAGTGTATACGGTTTCTCAAATACATCGCTCCCTCAGAGTGCTGTAAGGCTGACACAAGATTAGAATGACCTGAATTTGAATGTAGCACATTTATGTTCACTTAAATGTTAGAAGTTTATTTCTCAGTAAACTTGGGTTTCATTTCTTTGACTGTAATCAGGATGCAGAATTTTAGCGATGGTCCACAACAATTATTGTCAGTCTCGGTCTTTAAAGATTCTCCAGATTTGACCTCTGAGAAGGCTCATAAAGCAGTTGGAAAAAAAAAACTCTGAGTGCCAACAGTTACAAAAAGGTGTCACTTGGCATTCTCTGCGTTAAGAATTATGACCAGAGGGAACAAATGCTCTGTCAATGAAGGAAGGCTAAATTGGCCAAAGTCCAAATTTACTCTGCGACGCAGGGTTACACTCAAGGCACTTGAGTAAATATTCCATTCACGGAAGCCTTTTCAGGTGAATAAATGCTACAAAGAGCACTGCAGTGACCCCAAATACTTTCAGATTTGCGACCAACTCAAATTCCTCAACTGGTCTTTACTGACCTATATACACGTTGGCCCTGAAACTGAGAAGCAGTTGAAAAAACGAGGACGGCATTAAAAAGTCATAAAACTTTCAGGAGGACGTTTGCTAACACAGAAGTCAGATTTTTTTTCTGAGGTCAATGTATTGAAGCTTTAAAAACTTTTTTTTTTCCTTTGGCCAACTTTGCACATATGAGAATAATTGCAAAGCCAGGAGGAGCACACAGAACGCTGGAATGGGACTGGAAATGAGAGAAGCAGCTGTGGGCTGCAGGCTCTAGGTGTCACTGGCTTTTGTACAGCATCACATAGATGTGGACCAAATCTGGTCGGTGCCTAAACAACACAGCCATTGTGCGGCAGGCACCTCGGCAGTCACCTTGGCCTTATGCAGACAGGATGTTCAATAATCAGTCCCTCAGGGAGAGGTTCTCCGGGTGGTACTACACAGTGTGCAGCCAGGAAACCAGGGTTCACAGGACTGTAGTGGGCAGAGCTCTGACTGACACAGCACCCCTGCAGAACTAAAGAGTTTGGTTTAAAAAAAATCTTTCTGGCAGTTGCACATGATACAATAAAAATTTACTCTGCATGAAGGCAGGAACATAGATATGACTTCTGTGTTGTTTAGTGGATTTCACACTGTAAATTTAGACTGGGCCAACATATCTCTCCGAACAGTGATCATCAATGAGCCTTAGACTTTAAGGACCATAACAAAAATACTCCGTCACACTGGAGCCAAGTCATTAAAATCAGGCAGTTCTGGAGGCCAAACACACTGGGAAGAGTATGTGAATAGAAAATCCTTATTAAATAAACACATCATTTGGTGTAAGCAGAGTTTGGCTGTGTGAAAAAACTTCTGGCTCTGGTGTCCATGACAGCACCGCACTGATTCAGGAGAACCTTCTATGCAGTCTAGTGTGGACAATCAGACCACCGTGCTGAGTCCAAACGGTAACTGTTACGGAGTGAAACCAGCAGTCTGTGAAAATCTGACTTGGGGATTTGAGCCCAGTAAGTAGATTATGGTGGCAGGAGCTGGTGGGACCAGTAATGAATGAACTGTAAGTTTCTCCCCCTTCATTGATAATCCAAATTAAAGCGAGAAGTGTGGCAAGGTCTGATGTCAGAGAAGGTGGAAAAAAATCTCTCTGCATGTAAAATGAGTGAATTTCATCATATTTGGTAACAGCTTCTCAATTCCTTCATCAAAGGAAGTATAAAGCCCTTCGGTTTATGTTAACTTGGATGCCTTTTTTTTTTACTGTTGTGGATAATACGACACATCTTCATTCCATTATATACACCAAATGTTCTCATAGTAAAAGTGATTTATACTGAAGACTATCATGTTATTTGAACCAGACTTACTATGTTCATGAGTGTGAGAACATAGTTCTGCACATGTTCCTTGCCATGAAAGCGCACCACGGAGTCGTCCACGGCCAGCAGCACCTCAATGTTGTAGTCGTCCTTCTTCGCGTGTCGTCTCTTGCGCTCAGACTCGGTGAGTTTATGTTCGACAAGATCCAGAGCAGCTGGGAGGTCAGCGATCCCAAAGTCTGCCACTGCAAATATGGCCATTACATAAACAAGTCAAGCATAGAGCATGCATGTCAGACAGGCTCCATGTCAGTGTCAAAACAACAGTCTGAGGATGAGCACATAAAAGTGCTTGGAATTCACTGCATTTTGTACTGGAGACAGTTTATCTTTTGTCAAAAAATGTTCCCCCTCGGACTCATCAATCTCTGGTTAGGAGTCAGGGGTGCATCTCCACACCAAAGAATTCTGTCTGTGCAGACGGGGGAGGACACACTGGTTCCAAAAAGACAGTTACCCTTGCTCAGCAGTTTTATACTGTATGGATGAGGAACCTGCACTGAAGAGGCTAGGTTAGTGTTTTTTAACCTCAGGGTCGCAACCCCAGGTGTGCTCACTTGGAATTCAAATAGTGTCACCTGAAACGTCTAACAATTGTTTAAAAAAAAGATTGATAAAAGTTTGTTTCAACTAATTATTATTCTTTTTTAAATGATGACTAAAAACAACAAACATTTTATTTGCCCCTGTTAAAGATTATCTGCGGTGTTTTTAATCATCATTTTAAAAATGAATCATAATTAAATACAAAATATTTTATCAGTATTTTTTTTTTAAATCAATAATAATTAAATCAATTTGACATTTTAGATGATCTATTTGAGTATCAGGTGAGCACTAATGGGGTTGTGACCCCAAGGTTGAAAAACACTGCCCTAATGCCTGTCAGACAGTGCTCCTGACAATCTGTCACTCACAATCTCCAATGTCAATTTCCACACTGCTTCTTTTTTAGCTTTTTTGCAATGTCATTTTTTTTTGTTGTGGACATTCTATGGCTGAGTGACAATATGCTTTTTTTCAAGTCACTGTTTCTTGAAAGGGAGACTGCTTATTATTTTGTCTCTCTGGCTTACCCTCAGACCTTGATTCAATAAGTCTGTGTGCTGCGCAGAGAAATCGGCTGAACCTTAGACAAGAAGTGGAAGAGACACAACGTTCAACACAGTAAATTTCAGGTTCAAGTAAAAAGATTGGACCAAACTATTATTACCCAGTCAGACGACCCAGAGCAACAGAACGAATGTAGTTTTTTAAAACTTTTTTTTTAAATCAATGTAACAATATAATATGACAACTTCTAGAAAGTGTCTGAATCCAATGCCAAATATTTCTCACAGAAGCGAGCACATTTCTTTCAGAGCGGCACAGAAATAGTCTTGAAGAAAAGCAGTCATGAAAAGTGGCGAGTTTAGACAAAGCCCTTCCACAACTGTGTGCAAGTCCCATATGTAGCAGCTGCAGCACAAGAGTGTAGAAGAATGGGATTTGATAAAATGTGAATTAGTCGCTTGATTAAAAACATTAAACCGGGAGCCTGGGATGTGAGAGCTAAAGAAGAGACCCATTCATTAGTTTTACATTACTGCACAATCAAGTGAAATGAAAAGTCATCCACCAGATGCTCGTGCTATTGTAGCAGCAAGGAAGAAAGAAATGGAAAAGGAATTCATAGAGGAGGCAAAATGGAGGCGAAATAGAAAGTTCACTGTGCTATCAGCGTTCCTCAACGAACCTGGATCTGCCTTCTCTGCGGAGAGTATTATCCCTACACACACCTACATAAAATACACACAGCAGGGATGAGGTGCAGGACAGTCGGCCTGTTCGAATTTGACTCCCAGGTTGGGTTGGATAAATAGCTGATGTTTACGATAAATGAACGTCTCTCATGCTGATTGACTGATTGAATAACCGAAGATGAGAATGAAGACTAGTTTGATGTGCTGTTAGTACTGATGCACAGCAGGTAGAGACGTTGGCTGTGAGGGGGGAAAAAAGCATTTCTTCTTCTGTGCTTTGCAGCAGCAGAGCATATTTTTAGAATTGCACGTGTCTGCTCCGCCGCCGAGATTCAAACCTCTGCAGAAATTATACACATAAATTGTAAAAGAGAAAAATGCACTTTAACATATGCACTAAGACACGGCCAACGCACACACAAACCCACACAGTGCTTTTTGTTTCCACTGACGTCACACTCCCTCCTTGTGCCTACCTTCATTGTGGAGGTCCTCCCTCCGCTGGCCCGTGTCCCGCTTGATGGCTGACCTGCGGTACACCACATGGACACGCCCCTTCACTTCCACGTCCTGCTGACCCTTCTCTAGGGGCTCGATGAAAAATTCCCCATTATCAGTCCGGATCAGACCTGCCTGGAAAAAAAAGAGGTTCAAATTAGCGAGCCCCCTCCTCCTTCAAAGAGGGGTAATTCTACTGGAGCCAGTAATTATAGTGTGCCTGATCAATTGGAGGATTTAGAGGGGCTGGATTGAGGAAATGACGCAGGTAGGCACAATTTGGGGCCCTTGAAGCCCTTCACCAAGATTTATTGAGTGTCACCGTGATTTCACCCTGAACAAGATGATGACTTGCAATGTCTCAATTCAGCCACAAGTTTACGTCTGCTCTATGTGTCTGCTCCTCCCCTGATCCAGGCCTCGGCTGGAAACACCAGATAGCACTCATTTAAAAATGAGATTGTAGTACGGTTGACTAAACTTTGATACAAATGAAAACCAACTTTCAACTTATTGAAAATAACTTGTTGTCTCTGGAGGAGCTATTTCAAGACAAAAATAACTCATACTCACAATTCACTGTTTCTTACTTTTTATCATATCTATCATATTTTTAATTTGATTCAATGAAAACTAATTAAAAATGTTCCCATATGCATCCCATACGCACAGTGCTCCTTGTATTGAAAACCTCTTTATAATTCCCACTACAGTACCTCCACTTAAGCCTCGGTTCCTGTTTAGCCCCGGAGCGTGTCACTGCCACCACCACACTTCAGAGTAGGTTTGTTATTGCTTTTGCAAAAATGTTTGCGAGAATAATGTATTTGTCAGACTTCAGCCAGGTTCACATTTTTATAATCTGGTTTTTAAGCATAAACCTTCTCTCTAAATCAGTGCCCACATACTCCATATTTCAGATAGTTTAAATTGGCTGAGGACTAAAGAATTTACCGTCGCTAATGTAAAACTTTGAGACATTTGAATGATGTGTTCAGTATCTAAGATGAAATAACCAGGTGATAACTGACGTAAACCATCATGAAGGAATTTCCCTCATGTTCACAGTGAGTGTTTTTCAGTTCAATGTTTTTCTGACCTGTCCTTTGAAGTTTTGGACGCACCGCATGACGTGCTCATGTCGTCAGAGCTTTAACTGCAAATAAACGCTCTTTGCCGAGGTTGTGCATTAAACTGATAGAGAGGACCCGGCTCCAGGCTCAGCTACAAAACCTTGCAGTGATCGGGCGCAGCTATTTTAGCTCCTCACCGATTGACACTGCTAAAAAATACTTTTGGCACCGACCCTTGCTGTTTGTTAGACAGACTTCTTTAAACAGGAAATTAAAACTGGTTTCACATCATAAACCACTCAACCCCTGCACAAGGAGGGCATTGAAATAAACATCAATTCCACCTCTCAGGACACAGGAGTTAATGGTGCTCTTGAGTTGTTTTTATGTGTAGGCAGAATTGACTGACGTCCTAGTGGCTGACAGCAGCCGTGCTCTATAAGTAAGAATTTGTATTTTTTCCTCGAGTGCCTTTTTCTAGTCTTTTGTTTCTGGTCTTATCTTTTCCAAATGTGGACTGATGGACCGATGTACTGTGCCACTCTTGTCTTGGCTAAGTGTTAACCTATAGCAGTCGTGTAAATGCATTTAGCCTTTGTCGAAAATCTCTGTCACATCCATTGACCTTGTGTGCCTCCCACTTATTCTTAATAGGAGAATGACATCACTTACAGCCAAGAAAATATGAGCTTAATGCAACCACAACCCACAGGTCAGCCCTGGTCAGTCAGACCATTACTCTGTCTTCAACTTACAAAACATAACCTTTTGATCCTAATTATTTTTCTGATGGAAGATACATTTCTAATAGGATGCAGGAATGAGGGACAATCGTAGCGTAATTTCTTCAAACACAAACAACGGTGATCGTTCACACAAAGCAGTCATCTTGAAGTGATAACTAATAACTATCAATTGGGGAAAATACATGATGGTTAAATATCTGCAAGATCTTTCGACATCTTGATTCTGTTAGGTCTAGCACACAACAAGGAAAATACATGCCTCACATTCCAACCTATTGCTGAGAAAAACTAAATATATGAATATATGAAAACCCTCAGTGTGGTGTTGCTCCGGCCCAGCCACACCAGAGCTGTGAACTCAGCAGTGGATGTATGTCAGTAAAGCTAAAGAGGAGTGAAAGAATCTGTCCAACCCCTGACCAGGAAATGCCAAGTAGGACATGCTAGAATACTTCCTCTGTGGTCTCCTATTTCAGCAGTGGGAGGAAAATGAAGCTGGGTCTGCGAGGGCAGAACGCTGCAGCATCTGGAAAGGACTACCAAATGTTAACATATGGACGCCGCACCAGAGTCTAGACTAGGCAAGAACACTGGTTGGCTCTGCGAAGGAGACCCAACGTTATTAAAATTTCAGAGGCTTTCAGGTCAATTCCATTATTAATGGCTGCTACATTTTTATTTTTATTTATAAGTGAGGTCACATGGAATTCAACTGAGGTCACTGTTGTCCAGCAATTGGGGAAAAAAGATATATAAAAGTATTTTTAATATCTGATAAAATGTCACCAGAAATTTATGGTGTCAAAATGGGGTCACAAACCAAAAAAGGTTGGAAACCACTGCAATATAGGCTTATATATTTAATCCCCTGTCCCCTCTTGTGCCTATTTGCATTTTAATTACTTTTTTTTTGAAGAAGAAGAAGAATTGCTCTGTGAGGAAAATCTGTTCAGAGAGATTCCAGCAGCTTTTCACTAATGCCAACCACATCCCTTTGAGATTATGATATAGAAAAGGGAATTTGAAGAGTGACTCTGGAGATGTTCCTTCATCTCCGTTGGGAACTGAGCCTCGGGACCAGGAACCCAGCAAGTTCTCTTTGATGATTTTGAAGTCAAGAGAGGTCAAATGACGTGCTGATGATCAACCCACTCCGAGTGATGTGTCGGTGAATACAACCGGTTCATCAACAGCAAGTGCAGCAACAGGAGACATTTGCACCGACGTGAGTGTACCACTGACACCAGGTGAAGAAAAAAAACAGCAAATACAGTCAGAGCTCAAACTCACTCGTGCACTAAATTCCACACAGTGGTAGGAGCAACTTTGAAGCTGGATATTTATTGTATGTTATTTCAGGGAGTCTTTCCTCTGCTATGCAAACTAGTGGCTGGAGTGCAGCATAAATGCAGAGGAAAAGAACAAAAGAGGTGAGAACTGTGTGGGTGAGTCTTTCTGCCGGCAGCAAATTGTCTTGTTTGGAAACTGTGAAAGTGATGTAAAAGACTTGTAATTTACAAATACCAGAGTGAGTCATTAAGTTCTAGGACACTTGGTATCATTTCAAAAGTGACAGACATCTCACATAATTCTACAAAGAACGAGTTCTCAGATAAAATCACTGCACTGCACTGTAGAAATGATTAGATCTGCGCAAAGGATATGAAGAGAAATTGTTTTGTTGTTTTTTTGTCTATAAATAAATATTTCCAATTTCTTTTTCTTCCTTTACTTATCTGTCATGGAACATTCATATTCAGCCAGGTATCTTATTTGGACTTGGTCTTAAATAGCTGATTGTTGTTGTCGTTGTCTGAACATCATCTTGACTTTTCTGTTTTGTTTTGTCTTAGTTTGTGTCAACTGATGACAAAAGCATCAGGTCCTCCAGAAAAAAAACTTTTGACAGTTTGTATATTCAGATCAAGAATACATGAAAAACTTTTTTTCTTTTACTTACAAAGATAATGTAAGTTTTAATCAATACCATGTTCTGCAATAACCCACACTCCCTACTTCAGGAAACACTGGGCTGAGTGAGAATTTATTGAGGCAAAAGAATAGTAATCCGAAGGAGGAAACTGAGGCTAAACCAAGAGGCGACGGACTGAATTGAGTTGGCGTGATGAACCTTGAGCACGGCCGTGTTTCGCACACAAAGCCCTGACCAGATGAGAAAACAAGTTAAATAGCACGCTGCCAACAGTCTAAAAATAGAACAAACCCTTAGCTGCAACATGCAAAGAAATCAAAGTGCAGTTGTCATTGCAGCAACTTAACCTGCAATTTGTGACAGACGGACAAGAAATATGTAATTTACTTCCTACGCACGCTTTCTGTTGATCCACAGATGAGAACCACAACGTAATGATGTTCAATTTTAAGGTCAAATTAAAATAATGAAGAAATTTAACCTGTCTCACAGTTTATTACATACTGTAGCCACTGACATGTCAGTAAAGTTCAACAAGAAGCTTTCACTGTGCAGCCAGAAAGATCAAGAAGCCAGGGAGTAAGTCGTGTCTTAGCAGAGCCACAGGTTGGAAAAATCTCATAATACCAGGTTGTGGATGAAAAGGATTACTGGTTGATTCTTTTTTTTTTTTTATCAGCTTTAGCATTTCACTGTGCTGTGTCCTAAATCATGTGCACAACTGGTGGTCAAGAGCAAAAGGAAATGAGAAAATGGCGACATCAACTGCTGTGGCTCGTTGTCTATTACGATTTTAAATTGGCATTTTTTACAGAAAGCCCTAGTGATGAAACAAGACTAAAAAAGAGATACGGTGAAGAATGTTCTCCAACAAGTGAGAACAGCAGGTGCAGTAAATGGACTCTATTAACACTAACCCTCATTTTATAATACAACGCGGCATTCACACTAAAACGTTCCACCAACTGTTCACACCTATTCACACACATGTTGTCATGTTGGAGTGGTCAGTGAATGAACCTTACCACAGCCGTCATGTTGAATGTAATGATAAAACCATAATAGAACAATAACAAAATACTAGATTTGTACATCTTCACATCCATATTTACACAAGATAAACCTTTAATCTGCTAGTAGCTGTGTGTGTTGTTCAGGTTTTGCACAGAGGCAAAATATAATTCAGTCCTCCTTTACCTTTTTTTTTTGAATCACCTTGCCTGTCAAAAAAAAAAAAGAGAGTAGGTGTGTGATAGGAGAGAGAGTGTGACAGAAAGGGAGGGGAGTGTGGAGAGGAGAGAGGCCAGGGTGAGTGTTTTGCAACGTGCCGGTGTTGGGAATGGATGCCTCACAGACACATTCCCATCCTACACTGAGGATGCA